GTAACAGAAGTTTGTTTTCATGTAGGTAGCTCTGTTTTATGCTATATCCTGCAATCCTCTGCCTGACTGCAGTAGCTAGTCATGGAGAGCTGGCAGGAAGGCAGTGAACAGGAAAGAGTTTCTATAGTAAGTTATAGTTCAGCAAAAGTGTGTATGTATAGCCAGAAGTAGCATTTTCAGCTAAACTACACTTCGAACATTTGAAAATACATCAATATGCAATGGATCAGCAAATCCCTAATGTATATGAAACTTAGACATTTAAAATTAAGTTTTACAAAGTGCAGAGAACAAAAGCATGAGCAAGGAAGGTATGTGGTGGTTCTTTCTGCAAGAGCTGTGCAATACTCATAGCAGCTGAAACTCGGTACATGTGAACCAGATTATATACAAAGTAATTTCGTCTGCCATTGTAACAATGATTTTATTCATTTTTAGAAGATAATGACTAAGCTCTGTTTACTGTAAGTGGTATTTTCAGCTAAAGTTTGCAATCAGTCAGTTGCCAGCCTTGGTGTCTAAACATTGTTCTGTTACTTTATTTCTTTAGGTCATCTTAAAAGCTCCGCAGACAGAAACCCTCCACTAAGTCCACAGTCCTCTCTGGACAGTGAGTTAAGTGCTTCAGAGATGGATGAAGACTCTATTGGATCAAATTACAAGCTAAATGATGTTACAGATGTGCAAATTTTAGCACGAATGCAGGAAGAAAGTAAGTGCTCTGCATCAAATCAAGTGAGGCAATTGATTCTAACTGCAGTATCCTTCATCTATCAAAGGTTGATGGGTTGCATCCTTACATAACCTTCTACTAGCCCGAAGGATGTAGTGAGCACTTGTATGTTCTTCCAGGATATGGGCAAGTCAGTCTTGCAAAGACTTGAAGTAAATGGGAAGGTTTTTTGGAATAGGACTGATACCTAAATGTTACTAGGTTTGAGAACTAGACACCAGAGGAAAGAACAGAAGAATCCTTTAACCAAAGGAGGAAGAATGATGCATTAAGGGTCTAAGGAGAGGTAAGAAGTCAGGTACTACCCAGGAGACTTGCAAAGTTCTCCTGGAGAACTTCCCTGGTGGAGGCCAGGAAAGGCAGGCATTGGCTTAAAGGATGAGAAGGATGAGGAAAAGCCATATTTTGTAATGTCCTTTATGAACTGGCCCGTTTCTGTCTTAGTGGAAGCTTGAGAACAGGAAGGAAAGGATGAATGGTGAAGCATTCCTCGTGTGTCTGTTGGCACAGGTCGTGTACTGATGCAGCGTTCTCCTGCACTTCTGAGCAGTAACGCCAGAAGTGGGTTACTGTACAAGAAGTGTTGGTAGTTCTTGTACCACTGCTTTGGGGAGAGGAAGTTGCAATGTATAAGTTTTCTGTGGTAACAAGGGACAAAATAAATGCTGGGGAGAGTGGGAACTTGCACCAGGTAGTGTGTGCTAAAAGGATGGTGGTTAACACTAGGCTATTATCAATGGTCGTCTTTGGGCATGGGTGCTTCCTCCATGCAGTCTAGGCTTGTTGACATCAATGCTTACACCAGGATTTAAATCACCAAAATGTAAAGTTAACAGGGCAGAGAACAGAAGTTTCTTTTGACTTAGGTTTAGTAGAATCTTTATCTATCTCTGAGCCCTTCCAAAGTGCAGAACTGTCCTTTCAGTTGTATTCCAGTTTCTCCAGGGGTAGATAAACATGTAGCCTTTTTTTCTTTTTTTTAATGTTGTTAGAGGGTGATGTGATATCAAAGATGTGGCCTGTGCTGTGAATTCTGGGAATCGGAGAAGGGAGGGCCGAGTAAACAATACAACTATCCTAGTTGCTGCTAAAGGAAAAGGAATGATCTTGCCTGCAAACAGAGATTAACAGATAGTGGATAACTTCCTTGAGTATTAATCCAGTATAAATTTAATGCCTCAAATACAAGGAATTAGAATGAGGCAAATGTGGGTTCAAGAACTCGGAAGGTATTTGGGTGAGCTGCTGTTGGCTGCAAGCAGGTAACCAGTGTTTGTGCTCGCTGTTGCCAGGCCTCCGGCAAGAGTACGCAGCCAGCGCTTCCCGGCGTAGCTCGGGTTCTTCCTGCAACTCGACAAGACGAGGCACGTTCAGTGATCAGGAGCTCGATGCGCAGAGTCTGGAAGATGAAGAAGATGGCACGCATCACACGGTGCATCCTGCTGTTAGCAGGTTCTCACCATCACCTCGCAGCTCTCCCTGGCCTTCGCCAAAACAATCTCCGAGGAATTCACCTCGTTCCCGGTCACCCGCTCGAAGCATAGAGTACAGCAGAGTATCTCCCCAACCTATGATTAGCCGTTTACAGCAACCTCGTCTCTCACTTCAAGGCCACCCTACAGATTTACAGACTAGCAGTGTCAAAAGTGAAGGTAAAAAGCTCTGTCTCAAATTCATTATGGAACTCTTAAAGTAGTTGTATAATGTCTGTAAAGAATTGAATTCAGTGCACAGGACTAAAACTATTTGCTTGTGTAATATCAACATTTAATCAAAGTTGTTAAGGGAAGAGCAGAGCAAGCAGTATGTAAGTTTTGCTGTGGAATCCTTGCAGTCAGATGAGCTGATGAGAATCTACTGTAGTGTTAACCTGTCACTCTGGGTGTAATTCAGTTTTCCAGTGGCCAAACATACATCTGCGATAGGCAAATGTGTGAGAATCAAGCCTTAAAAATACTAGTTTCAAGCAGAGCCTAAGCAAACCCATTATTCACCAGTAGGGTCAGGCCATGCAGATCACAGCATAAAATGCAGAGGTAACTGTAGTCAGGTAAAATAACATGTTGTGGCAATTTACACTGTATTAAATTGCTGAATTTGAGAGAACAGAATGCTCTTAAATGGCAGTATAGGACTGTGAACTTGCTGAGCATGAACACGGCCTTAAAAATATTAATACTTTTTTCATGCCTCAGTTGGACATTTTAGATATAATAAAGCTGTACAAATGGCCCCTTTCTCCATCCATTCCCCCAAAAATGCAGGAAACTTGTACAGTACACTCTTGGAGCAGGATGATGTCATTCTGATAGGATTTTTTTCTTGCATTCACTTTGTACTGGTAGCAAGCCAGCATAAACTCTTTAAATGGGCTGAAATTTCACATGCGTATTGCCATTTTAAGAAATGTATTGTTCTCTGGCAGATATAATCTTGAATCATAGAATATATGAAGTTTAGAAATAATATATATTTAGATTTTAATAATTCACCTCGGCTTTATTTTTTTAAAAATTTTTTCAGGTAAGCTGAATATAAAGTGTCTGCAGTAGAAACGATGTAGAAATGCTTTTTTTAATGGTTTTTCTCTTGGATTTCTTTTCCACTACTATAAATGGAAATGTTAGTAAAAAATATTGGTTAGAGGAGTCAGTGTGCTAGATTAAAACTTTTTGGGAAGCTGATCCTGCAAATTTAATTAGCTAATCAAGCAAATATTTGTATGGTCTGGCATAAGTCATCCAGTAATAGTGGCTTGTGGAAATTCCAGGTATATAGGAAAATGTGCAACACAAAGGTAATGAGTTATATTGTGGTTTAGCTGAAAGTTCCTTTCCCATTCTAGGGTTCCTGAAAGTCTTACTGCATGGTAGGTGAGTTGCCCTAGGAATACCCGAGGAGGGAAGGGGTACCAAAATCTGGTGTCCTGTAGAACAGAGCGATCCAAACACAGTGTGGGATCATGTGTTTCTGAAATGCTTTAAGGCACTGCTCTTGCAGTGGGTTTTGCACAGCTGGGTGTTGCTTGTATATTCAAAGGGTTGATGCACCAACAGCCGGTGAGGTGGTGGTCTGGGAGTTGGTTTTTTTTTGTTTGTATGGTTTTTAGGTGTGGGTGGGTGTGTTTTTGTTTGTTTTTTCCACTAGAGGAAAATGTGAGTGTCCAAAACACTAGCAAATGTGATACAAACCAATTCAAGAAAGTATCTATGCAGGAATATTCAGGCTAGGAAGTCTCTTACTTTTATTTTCATCTTTGGTGCTTGCACATAAGGGTACTTCTTCCCTGCATTCCTCTTCTGCACCAGGTTGGCTACTCATCCTGACAAACCATCTGCTCCCCTCTCCTATTCGGAGTCTGTCATCAGCCCAGTTCTCCATGGGTTGGAGATGCACCAAATATCATTTGGCTTGACAGAAATTCAATGGTGCCTTTTTATTTTCTGCAAGCAATGGCACAAAGGTTAGAAGCTCCTTAAAAAGCCAGTATTAGCTAAGCAGATACCCAAGTCATAGGTGAAATACCAAGTGAAACTGGCTGCTGCTTTCATTAGGGAATACTGTTGCAGAGTTTCTCCCTAAATGGGAGCCCATTCTTTGTTGTATCATATGCTGACACTGGGTTTGGGCATTCCTAAAAACTAGAGAACTATTGTGTATTTTTAAATTTTAATCTTTAGGCATGTATTCTGTATTTTAAGTTACTTTCTAGGTAAAGACTTTAAACTATGTGCAAGACTGCATATTTTGTTTGCCTATTCAATTCACATAACAGGAGTTTAAAAAAGAGAAACAAAATCTAGCTATGAAGTAGATGATCTAATAATTTAGAAATTCATTTGCAAAGCACTGTATGCTTGACTTTTTTACCACAGGTGAAAACTGTACATTCTTGCTTTATTAAATATTTTATATATGAAAATAATATATAACTCTATAGCTCAGATTATCTTGAATTAATGTAAAAAAATATGCTTCACACTGCAGTGTAGATTTATGCAGACAATTTTATCACTTACATATTGAGTTTGTCCATGTTGAACTGCATGAATGTCTCTTGAATCAAATTACATGTTGTGGTATCTCTGTGTTGTTTCATCCAGAAAAACTAAGGCGTAGTCTTCCAAATCTATCCAGGACATCTAACATCCAAGCTGAGTCTGTGAAAAACAGCAGAAGTGACTCGAACTTCCAAGTGCCAAATGGAGGAATACCTCGCATTCAACCTCAAGCCTCAGCCAGTAAGTACCTTCAGTGGCACTCGTTATGTATTTCAGAATTAAGTAATGTTGCTGAGCTCTTCTCCAGTTTTATGGCAAAGAAACAACACCGTGCCACATTGGAGATGATAATCTTGATTTTTTTTTGACATTTATTTGAAAATCTGTTTATTTGGTAGAAAACTCAGGTTTTGAGTACATGGAAGTATGTCTGTTCTCTTACAAATGTATTGTCAGTAATTTCCTAAAAGCACAGTGAAAGCACTATCCAGAGCATAAACACACTGGAGTTAGACATTTCAGAAGCCATTTATTCTCCTATTTTTTGTGGTTTGCAGAGGGTATACTGATGAAATCTCCTGTCAAGCTCTATAGAAACTTTGTACTTTTTAGTTTTTTTATGTAGAGAAAGCTTACCTGAAATCATTAATGCAAGTCCAACCCTTGTTTGCATTCTCTTTCTTTGTTTTTCACCTGGAAGTCGCATATTCAAATACAGACTTTTTTTTTCAAGTGTCTGTATCAATAAATGTTTGTGTGAAACAAATTAGCCCAGTGCTGGGTTAATGCCTCATTTGTCCAGCAGTGAGCTAATAATATTAGAATGTTACTCATCTTGCATGTCTTTTTAAAACAGCCACCTGACCTTATTTTAAAAAAGGGCAAATGAAGCTCAAAGTATTCAGTGCTGCTTATATGTCATTATTGACAGTTCATAAATGTTTTTTGTTTTAGAACAAAAATTCAGATGTAATCTTAAACTTGACATTTTCAAGGGAAGAACACATTATGAGATTACTGTATGTAGAGACTTGAAATAGAAAAGTTCTATGATAAAGAATCATAATTTTTCCAAATATTTGACAAATATTTGAGGGAATGCAAAATAATATTTTTGGATGAAACTGATTTTTTACCCATTGATAGTAAAGGTATACTTTACATGCATACTGGCATACCTGGCTGTTACTGCTTAATAGTCTTAAAACAGTGGGTTAATGCAACTAAAATCCAGTTGAAAATAAAGCAAAAAGAAAAAAAAATAAAAGCAAAATAAAGAATACTGACCATTGTAAAAAGATTTTTGTCTTTGTAGTTCCTTAGACTGGATTTAAGGATCACATGGACCATCAAACCCTGGTGTGTAATACTGTAGGCAGAGAAGCTAGTGCGAGTGTGATAGGCCGTACGGGCTGCCCCGGCATCATTTCACCCTGCCCATTTCTTCCACTATCTTGGATGCTCCAAAAGGGGGATTTATAATTAAGTGCATGTGTGTAGTGTGTACAGGGCTGTCTTCTACTAGAAGACAGAACTGCACTTACAGAAGTTGGGTAGCAGCTCTCCAACTACATTACTTCTCTGATGGGAAGAATGATTAAATTGATGGGAAAGACAATGAAACAAGAATATTTCCTAAAAATCCATAGAAATTTTATTTGGGATTTTAAAATTGAGAACTGGTAGGAAAGAGCACAGAGTGCATTTTATTTGGCCAGAAGGCTATTTCCAATTTTAGCAGTGAATTCATAGTGAAATTTCACAGTAAGGTCAGGTAGCAGAAGTCTGAATGTTCAATGTTTAGTGAGTTACACTGATGGAGCCAATGTAGTGTGACTAACGTTTATACATATAAAGTTTTTTAATTGAAAACATGAAAATTATCAGGTAAATTTGTTTGCCTCTTATGGGATTTTTTTTTCCCAAATGTGAACTACTGTAGAACAACTTACATTTAAATGTAAGTTAAGTATCATTAATGAAGCCCAGATTTCTAGCTTTTACAGTTTCCCTGCTCTTACAGATGTTTGTCAGAGTCTTGCTATTGACAATCGTAAAACGGTTTGTGTATCAAGTCAATGAGTAAGTATCTTTGCTTAGTCTGGATTTAAAAAAATGCAAAACTGTATATTGTATAAAAGTTTCTAGAATTCTGTCTTTTTGTATTGTACACTTTTTGTTTCATTGGTTTAATATTTTGTCACCTTGCACAAAGCGCTGTTAAACTGCGGCAGCATTTTGTTTTAATTTGGCGATGGTGTATGGGGTTCAGAGCTTCCTCCACGTAGCTGCTGGTTTTGCATGAGCTTCCCCTTGCAAGGATGCTGGCCTGCCACCCAAAGTCACTGCTCCTCTCCTTGTCCGAGATCTGCTGCTCATGATTTCCCTGCACATTTGCTGTGGCTGCAATCCTGAACTTGCTATGGGTGCTGGCATTCAAAAATGAGTTAGGAATCCAGTAAGTTTCTGAACAGGCAACTCCTCTTATGGTTACATAGGCAAATTGTACATGTTTGAAGAGTAGAGGGAAATATCATTTTAAATATTATGAAATATTATCAATATTATGAAGCTTAGAAGTATTACTGTAAAATGTGGAAACATAGCATTTTAAGTTTTAAGCTGTAATTTGGTTTTTAAAACTCCAAATTCTCTTTTTAAATGGTTTCATTTGCTATACAGTCCAAAACAAATATTCTCCCAGAAATCATGACTGTTCATAGTAAGTATCTTTTTAAAAATGACTGAATTACATATTGCTTGTACTATTAAACTTTCAATGAATCTCTGGTTCTCCATGCTGCTACACAGAGCAGAATTTTTATGTAAAAAGTATTTCACCTTTAAGGATCAGAAGATACAGCAATAGTTGACTTGTGTTCTCCAAGGAATAGTTATCTTTGTTCTAAACTATCAAGTGCTGCTTCTGCGGGAGAACTCTTCCACATAGGTGCTATGCCACACAGGTGGTACAAAGAAATTGTAATGCGTTTCCCGCACAGGTTTTGTAGTGGATTGAGTTTTTAATACGCTGGTACTTGCCTAGCACAGGGATATGCAATGCTAAGGCAAAGTTAAATGTAGTGCTTGGTCAGCTGAGGATTGCTCAGGCTGTTTGCCAAGAGAGGGCTGCTTAGCATGTGCAAAGTAAGAGACGGAAGGGCATGTTTGAGCAAAACAAGTACTTGAGTTTGGTTGATCTGGAATAAGTATAGTTATATTTATTCAGTATTGTACTTCAAGCACGTGCCGTTTGTGACAGGTAACATGATAGCTTGTGATGCAGCTTTGGAGCAGCAAGTCGTGTGGTAACGTTGCACTCCACGCTTGCCTCATCAGATGCATGTGTCCTCTGCACCGCCCCGGGTGCCCTGGCTCAAGTCCTTTTCAGGGAGGTAGGAATAGAGCCAGGGAGCTATCGAGAGCTCTTCTGCACTTTCCATTGAGAGGCAGGAATTTGATCATATATTTTCTAAATCATTTCTACATCATTCCAGTTTTCTGACTTGCTGACACTGTGAATAATGATGGGGAAGAAACTTACTGCCATATACAGTAGCATATTTAAATCTAAGGGAATGAATTGGAGCAATCTAAATTCATGGCCATAAATATGAAGGAAGAAGCTGTTTTGGATTTTGTGTGGTAAAGCAAAAACACTGCTTCAGTAAAAATGGTATTGTGGAATACTTGTGGGCAGAAACACAGCAGCCACTGGTGTGCTTCACTAAATTCCTTGAAGAAGGCTGGTTTGGGAATTGTGCTCCTTTTCAAACAGTTTGCTGCTTACAGGTGTGCCTTAGAAAGATGTTTATAGCAAGACCATGTGCCAGAAGCTTAGTAAGAACTGAATATATAAGAACTGCATATTGCCTCATGGTTTTGTCGCCAGCACAACCTGGTTGGTAGAAAGCATAATTTTTGTTTTTAATGGGCCTCAGGCAGCATGTTTATAAATGCTTTATTTGCTTTTTGCTGCCCAGTAAAAATAGTTGAGCTAATAATAATTAAGGTTAGAATTAATAGACCTAGTCATGTTTTCAGGATGAAGGTAAAACACGATGCAGTTGTGTAACTCATAAATTTCTGCAAATTTTGAACCAACTGAAGGATGAGAATCACAGTGGTGATATATCAAGTTTAGAAAATAGGATTGATACCTACTTACTCCTCCTCCTATGTTCTTTATCAGGATATTCAGCAACTTGTTAGGCTTCCATGCTCAGGGGAAGGCGTTCTGCCCAGCTGTCCTCCCGTCTTCCTTCCCTGTCAGTGTACGAGCGCTGGTGCTACCGCGTTGCGGTGCTGCTGGGGAGCAGCCACTTCCCCAAGGCTTTGCGCAGGCAAAGCTCATTTCACTGACGCCTCTCTGCCCTCCCGCCTCGCGCGCGCGGCGCTGGGAATACGCTGAATCCATGCATTCCTTCTGGCCATAGGTAATTCTCCCTTTGCCAAGTTTCTGCAGCTCTTGGAATGCTGGCTTCCCTCTTGGAAATCTCTAGGCAGTAAAGTCATTTCAAAGCAGTGTCAGTCATTCAGCATTGCTATAAAGAAGACAGTGCAGAGGAACAACTAAAAACAGAAATAAAAAACAGTTTTTGGCATACCATCCGTGCTGGCAGCTCATGATCTTGGGGTTTGTGTCTTTTCACTTCAAATGTGATTTCTCTTCTATATGTTTCAGGAAAAGCACAGACTCCTCTTAAAGTTGCCTAAGTTTGCATTACTGAAAAATGCAATTTGTTTTTATATAGTGATCCTATTTAGACTAAGATCTGTGCTTTTGTACAGTGTTAGAATATTGATTGAAAACAAAGTTTAGTCTCAGTAGGTCAAATCTGACAGCTTAGTTTTCATCTTTTATCTAATCTTGCGTTCATATTGCTGTAGCATGTTTGCTGGGTGGCTTGTTCTCACTTTGGTGTATTAATTTTTTTTTGCATTTGTGGGTTTTTTGCCCTGCAAGAAGCTTCTTTACTCTTATAGAACCTGCACATTTTGCACTGCAAAACTTCTGACATGCTCCTTTTGTAACGCTTTGCCATTAAGAGCAAGCACTGTTTAAAAAGGAAACAACTTCTCTTTCAGCATCGTAAGAGCTCTGCAAACTGTTGTGTTTTACTCACATTGTTCCTTGATGCTTTCGCAAGCGGATGCAGTTCTGAAATTCCCAGCAAATTTAGTTTTCTTATCTTTTTAGACAAATATAACACTTGTTGTCTTTCAACAGCTCTGCAAAGGCAGAAAAATTTGCCTCGTGCTGCCTTCAAAACCAAACAGTTTCTTCAAACTCCATCTACAAAAGGAGGTAATTAACTTGTGACCTCTTATAAAGCTCCAGCAAGTCTCAGATAACTGTTCACCTGTGTTAAATCACCCATGTCCTTCGTTAATGAAGACACTGTTGCATGTAGAGATTAACCAAGTGGATCTTGCTGTATCCAAGTATAACTTTTTGTATAAATATGAAAACATAGCCCTGCATCATTTAAAAAAATATAAAACAAGGTATTAAGCGTGATACTGATATGAAATCAAAGCCTTCTGAAGTCTTCCATATTCACCAAGGCTGTATTTAGGTAGGAATATTTTTGATTGGAGTCTGCTTCTCTGGAGATCTTCCAGACCCGCCTGGATGCCACCCTGTGCCCCGTGCTCTAGGTGTCCCTGCTGGAGCAGGGGGTTGGACTAGATGATCTCTGGGGGTCCCTTCCAACCTCAACCATTCTGTGATTCTGTCATTGTAAGCTGCAGTTTGTAAAACAAGCCCCAAATTTCTGGCTTACAAAAAAGTTTATCCTTGAAGGGATTAGCCTAGAATGTCAGCTTGTTGCTGACATGTGCTGACATGCATGTGCTTGTGTTTTCTTTTTCCTCTCAGATCTGGAAGTTTATCTCTTAAGACACAGCATACTTTATTTTTTTTTGTCAAGGAATTGGAGATTATGATAGATAGTATTCCAGGTTACCAATGGCTAAAGTTCATTTCCTTTTGAGAGGAAAATTAAATAGTCTGTAATCCAATTAAACAGATTTTAATTGATTTTTTTTTAAATGAAGTTCTAGCAGCCTCATACATGATACATGATCTCTGTTTCACTA